CTCTTCATTAGACTAGACATATCCTAGACATTGTTGTGGCCCGCCAGCAGATTCAGACAGTGAGGAGGTTGGGGAGGAAACCTGGGCCAGTCCTGGAGTCTGGGGAAGGCTCTGATGAGGGCTCGGTGTCGGAGGCAGAGAGGGGGCCAGAGCCGTATGCCAGTTATAATCAGATATCAGTGAGGCAGAGGAACAGCTGGAGCCTGTTCCCAGTGTGCGCATGTACAGAGTTGCCAGACGAAGGGAACAGCTAAAGAACAGAGGTCGACTTGGGAGTAAGGCCACAGGTGGACAACAAATGGCCCCTCCCAGAGGAGATAAAAGAGGAGCGAAAGGGGAGGGGAGTTTGCAGGAGACAATTAGTTCACTTAATTGGTTCATGACTCTCCGAGACTCCTGGCCAAATTTTGCAGACATCGGCCTGGCAGCTCTCCAAGCCAGATAAGGTCTGTGACCGTAAATCCTCCCTTGAAAGGCTTTGCTGGAAGTGAATGAGCAGAATTCACAGCAAATTAATAAAAGGGACAAGGAGTTTGCTTCATGCTCTTGGGAAGCCTCGGTCATAACAACTCCAAATCATGAGCATCCGGGCTGCCTCTTCTACATGCCTGCCCCAGACGTACACTCTGCCAATTTTATGTCCATAAAATCATTTCTTTTTATTATTTGTTATAAAAACATAATACAAGTTTTGCTGTGCCCATCGCTGGTGGGACATTGGAATCATTGTTACATGGTAATGCCAAGGACGGATATATGTTGTTGGCCTCTGAGCGACAACTCTTAGTGCCTTTTCAAAGACCCTTCACCCTCCGGAAAGGAAGAGTTTGGGGAAACAGAGCAGCGTAGAAACCGTAGTAAAGGAAACCATTTGTCAGTCCATCCGTTCGTCAATAAATAAATAAAAATAAATAAACAGCTCATCTCTTTAAAGGTGGACTCTCTTGCTTCCCTGTCTTTTGAACCCAGAAGAGATGGATGAGGGGCCAGGTGAGCCAAGGAAACAAACCTACTTCGAAACCTGGAATGTGCAGATGTGATGAATATTCACAGGTTCCTCTGTTTGGAAAGCCAAGCAGATTCCTTGACCATGGGAAATCTAGCACACCAAAGAGAGATCCTTTTACCTCCCTTTTCTCCCCTACATGAAAATCAGCCTGGTGTGGGAAAGGGAATTGGGTTGCATTGTCTGCAGAGGTGCAGGCTCTCTAAATTCTGCAATCTCACCGTGGGAATCCAGGCTGGTCTCTAAGCGTCTTTTTTTCTTGGTCTTAGTTGACTCTCCTTTGCTTAGCACAGATGACAACGGAAATTGTTTTGTAGTAATTCAGCAATAGGATTGGCAAGGAAAAGAGAGTAATGCAGAAGATCTCCCAGCTTGTCTTCTGGAAGGGGGCAGCTATGGAGAAAGGGGTCTGGAGGGGGTCGGGAAGGAGATATGCATGAGGATGGGTGGGCGAATGAGTGGCTGGATAGAAGATAGAAAGGATGGATGAGTGGATGGATGGATGGATGCATAGATGGATGGATAGAAGATGGATGGGTGGGTGGGTAGATGAGTGGCTGGATAGAAGATAG